CAGCAGGAGTTGATCATTTTTCACTAAGTTTTACGCTTGAAGAAACTTAACATCTAAAGCTTTTCTCTCATTTCTCAATAAGTGAAACTCCAGTTTAGTCTAATGATTAAAGCTGCAGTCTAGAAATAGAGAGACTGAGTTCTACACCCGCCTTAGGCATGAAAGACGGCTGGGTAATCTTGCACCAATCACTCTCTCTCTCTCTCTCAGCCTAACCCATCTCAAAGGGTTGCTATTGGGGAGAAAAGAGGAGCAAGAAGGAGTATTAGATATGCTATTTACAATAAAATAAAATAAATCCTAATTTATGATCACATTCCATCTGCAATTTGTGAGAGGTTAGAATAGGTGTCTAGGGATTGTCTTATTTGGTGCTCCAGCAGATCTGGGTTATTTTTGTAATGACCTACCCATTGTCACTTAGTGTTCTTCTTCATTCAGCTATCCAAAGTCCTCTCATTCTGTCCTTCACTTTGTTTTTGACAATAAATGACATATTAGCATGTTAATCTTGAACTTTCAAATGAACAGATAGTGTGTCTAACTGTACTGATCTTCTCAGAAGTTGAAAGCAAAGTGGTTCTGAGATTTAGGCACTCATGAGACACACATCCCACTTGATATGAAAAGATCAATGGCCCTAAAAGCCCATTTGCCAGAACATCTTGACTTTGCTAAGTTAGGACATGATGTTCATACAATACAGTGCATTTCTTCCCCATTTCCATGGTCATTTCAAAAAAGTGATTGATTACATAAAATCATCACTATAAATATACCTCTGATTCCTGATCTTACCAAGTTTTACAGAAAAACAAGTCTATGTGATTATCACTCTTAGTGCCCTTTTTCCCCCCTCCTTTTAGGCTTAATTGCCCATTTCCCCCCTCTTTTCCTTTTCTTCAAAGAGGAGTTAGAAGTGTTACCACTGATTTAAAAGGCATTCCTTCCCTTTAAAAGGCATTCCTTAAGAAACTCAGAGGTTTGTGGTGGTATAAAAGAATGGTCATTTAGGAATCCTTCCCCTCCTCAAAATCTAAAATATTCACAAAATGTACACATGCGAAGTTACAAGCAGAAATGGAAGTTTAGGAGTAATTACTATACTTTAACCAGAACTATAATATGCAGTGCTCTGTTGTATTTGCTTCAGTTGCCCCAATTACATTCATTTTCTATTTATCAGATTGGGAGATTTAATTCTAGGTGATTTCATTTTTTCTAGTTGTATCCTCCCAATCTCTAATGCAGTTTCCCAGCAATATTTGTAGTGAGCCAGTGCCATAAAACAGTTTATAATAAAATAAATAAAAAGTAAAAAGTAGAGGAAGAAAAGTCACATGACTGACTGCTAGAATGAGGCTGGGACAGTCCATATTTTTTAAAAGACATAATCTGCAGAAAGCATTTATTGCCCTAACTGCAATAACTCCCATAGTGCTATGAACATATGCATTAAATCATTTTTTGGTTCCATCTTTTTTTGTTCTTGTTCCACTGAAGTCAGTAGTCTAGCCATATGTCCTCAGTAGATATGTGCTAATAGGTATCACTATGATCACAGTGGCATGGTGGCCTAGTGGTGAAGCTAACCATCTCCCACTCAGAAGGCTGAGTTCAGTATCACTATTATCATTCCTGACTTTTACCAGGTTTTCATAGGTGATACATGGTTGTTATCAAGCATATTTTGCAATCACAAATTTTCCTCTCACGCTGTAATCTTTGTGTAAATTTTTAAAAATGTAATAAAAATGGATTAGCATGAATTAGTCCAGTTTAGTAATGTTTGGGACCTAGATAGATGTGACCTTTCAAGTATGTGAAGCAGGCATATACATGTCTAATCTAGTTATAAAATTATAGCAGTACTTTTTGATATTCAGGATTAAAATGAGGGATAGAAAAGCCAGGTCAGTTCCTATTCACAGCTTAATAGAAATGGAGCAATTTGTTTCAATCTACTATTCTCTGTGCCTGCTTGAACAAAACAAAACAAAATTAGTCACCTAAATGTATTATAACTAAGCCAGAAGCAGTTGGAATTTCTAAAGACATGTAAGCAACTATGTGCAGAAGACATATGTGTGTCTTAACTAGTCATATAAATGTACCATATCATATTGTAAAAGGAGGTAATGTGTCAGTGAGTAAACAAGAGTATCCATGGATGTTAATTCTCTGTAGCTACCAGCATCAGCCATATGCAATGGTAAAACATAGCAACTCAAGTGCATCAAAAATGATGCCATTCCTCAGATACATCATTAGAACATCTTCAACCAAGTGTTACGTTGAAATATGGTACCAGCAGCTATGATTTTTGTTCTAAACCTAAAGTTACTCAGTGAGCTTCAAGATATAATAGTACATTTTAGATTTTTCAATGCCACATGTAACATATTAGTTCTTGATGTTCATCAAAATGCTTTTTAATAACTTAGTAATGCAACAGTCAATTTATAATTCTTATTTGTGGACAATTTTTACCTCAGAGCTAGTATGGTGAATACTGGAAAAGCTGATTATGCTAATGCTATCTGTAAATTTTGGTGGTAGAGATGTGTTGGCTCTAACTACATAATTTGGACCCTTGCTTCTCTGGGAACTAAACATGTACAGGTAGTCCTCGACTTACAACAGTTCATTTATTGACCGTTCAAAGATACAATGTCAGTGAAAAAAGTGACTTATGGCCCATTTTCAGAGTTACAACCTTTGCAGCATCCCTATGGCCATGTGATAAAAATTCAGATGTTTGCAACTGGTTCATATTTATGACATTTGCTGTGTCCCAGGATCATGTGATCACCTTTTGTGATTCTCTGACAAGCAAAGTCAATGGAGAAGCCAGTTTCACTTAACAACCAAGATACTAATTTAACATAAATGATTCACTTTAAAACTTGGCTTGAAAGGTCGTAAAATGGGACAACATTCACTTAATAAATGTTTCACTTAGAAATAGAAATTTTGGGCCCAATTGTGGTTGTAAGTCAAGGACTACTAACTTATTAGATTAAACCAGATAGGAAAAGTTGGACACATCACCAGAACAATAATTCTCCTTTTACTTCACTGTAACATACTAAAATTGACTAAGTAAGAATTTGGAAATAGCAGCAGTGTGGAATTTAGCATGTTTACTCTAGTTCAGGCATGTGAATGTTTGCTTTTGAACATCAATTACAATAAGTTGACTTTTGGTAGTTTTGTTACAACTGCTGAAAATTGCCGTAGAGTTGTTGCTATTCCTCCTTAAAGGGTTCTAGGCAAACTGATCTCCCTCTGGTGTATTCACTATGCAATTATGAGTGTATAATTAAGAGTCAGTTTGGTTTAGGTGTTAAGGCACAAGGCTAGAAAGCAAGAAACTGTGAGTTCAAGTCCTGCCCTAACTATGAAAACCAGCTGGGTGAACTTGGGACAGTTACTCTTTTTCATCCCAAGTCACTTCATGGGGTTATTGTTGCAATCGGCAAAATGGAGGAAGATGTGTTGGATATGTTCGTCGCCTTGAATTATTTGTAAAAATAATAAAAGGCAGGATATAAGTAAAAAATAAAAATATCATCATCACCATTGGCCCTAAAACTCTTCTTTTTATGCTGTATATCTTTTATAAAGTTTTATTACTGTAGCTGTATATGTGAAGGTATTTTGTAATGATGGGATGACATTATGGTTTGAGGGTTATTATAACACACTGCAATTATTTCATTAGTCTTCTTTTGTTGAAGAGGAGTACTTAATAAAGAGTTAATGTAACAAAGCAATAAACTCTCACATATGATAAAGACTTCAAAAAGTCTCAGTGAAGAACCTTCTTGATGAACAATGAACATTAAAAAAAAGCAATGACCACATTGAATCAGATTCATACCCATTTAACCGCTATGAAACTCCTCCAAGAACTCAGAAAATTGTAGTTCAATGAACTTGCTTTTGGAAAATTACAATTGTGTATCAGCAATTATGTTTTGCTGATTAAAACCAATTAGAAATGGATTAACATTTGTTGTATAGAATCTCCTTTGTGATAATTTGATAATTCAAATTGATCCAGTGTACGTTCAATTCATAAGAAAGCTCATGCCAAAATATTAGATGTGGGTCAACTCTTTCATATAACTATATCTGCTAAAACATAGATGCATGTGACTTCTGAGAATTGATTCCAGAGCCTTCTCTTTCATGGATATGTTCATTCAATTCAGCAATATCACTCTTACCCCTGAATAACAGATTCAGCAAACCTGCCTATAAGAAAATGCTTTGGAATGTATAATTCTGAGCTCTGGATTATTCAGTCTTTTTATTTTTGCTTTTCCAGTAAAAGGAAAACTGTTTCAAAAATCTATTTCAAACCAGGATTTATAAAGACTTGAAGAAGAATAAAAGCATGTTTTGTGTATTAAATTTGTTTCTTAAATAGCAATATGCATATAATGTTGTGAATTTATGAGAATCCATTTTCAATGAACATATAAGTGTGGTTCTAATTCCCTAGTACAGTGATGGCGAATCTTTTTCTTATAGCATGCCACAATTTTGTATGCACACGCTGTCAATCCAATCCTTCCTGCCCCACATGTGCATGCACGCAACCCTCCCCCCACACATGCATGAACGACCCTTCCCCAGATTTTGGTGGCCTCCCAGGCCTCTCAAAAGCCAGAAACGGATTGTTTCCAAACTTCTGGTTGGCCTGTTGGGGCTGTTTTTTGCCCTCCCCAGGCTTTAAGAAAACCTCCTGAGCCTGGGGAGGGTGAAAAACAGGCCCAACGAGCCAACCAGAAGTTCATTCCCAAACTTCTGGTTGGCCTATTGGGATTGTTTTTTGTGCTCCCCAGGCTCCAGGACAGCTTCTGGAGGCTGGGGAAGGCAAAAAACAGCCTGCCCCGGCCTTCCAGAAGCCCAAAAACAGCTGGCCATTGAGTGCATGGGCCCTGGAGCTGATGGCTGGCGTGCCAGTGAATATGGCTCTGTGTGCCACCTGTGGCACACGTGTGATAGGTTCGCCATCATGGCCCTAGTATGTATCTATGTATCTATATAAATCAGTTATGTCACAAGTGGAAGAAATGTTACATGGTGATGTCAGGTCAACGGAGTTGTAAGAGTTTCAGCAAGAAACTTAATAAGGCTTTTTATGCATTAAAGTCTGCCTTTCTGACAACAAGAATGAAAACAACGCAGGTCTGTATTATTGATAAAACTTCACAATATTATGATACACCCAAATCAAATGGAGATTTCAAAGTGCTAACAGATTAATGGCCTATCAAAAACACATTAATCTGGTTTTATCCAGGCATATCTTAAAGCCTGAGTTCTTGCTTTCTGAGGGACCATTTATTATAAGTAGGTTTTTAAGATAATTTCATAGTTATGGCTTCTTGTAAAGAGAATAATTCGGTGAATGCGCCCCACAGACTAACTGCCGCTGAAATGTGCCATTTTCTGTGAAATTTGTAATTCAGCAATGTTAAATATTCTGTGGGACAAAAACTTTTCGTGAAACCCCAATATTCTCATTCTCAGAAATTGGAGCAATGCTGATTATGGACATTTTGTATGTGATTTCAGATAAGAAAAGTGACTGACATGTTTACACCAATAGAAAAGATACACTTAGGATTCCTGGCTTTTTCAAACAATTACAGAGAATTCTGAGAATTTTCCAGAGTGGGTAAAATGACTATAAAGCCATTTGAAAGTACCCTGCAGTCTGATACCTTTAATGTTCAAATCAAATCAAATGACAATGTATGTTTTAACTATTATCACATCCTTTTTAGAACATGATGCTAAAAGGCTAGACAAGAATGCTCCTAGGCTTCAGAAACAGATATTGTCTGGAAAGAAATATTTATATTCTAAAGGGATTTAAAAAATGAAAAGTGATCCCTGTAGGTATTTTTAAACACCTGTAAGCACAGATAGACAACAATATTTACTGGCAATGTTGAACTGCTTAAATTACTGAACTGCTTGGATTATTTTCTTGGATTAGATGTGTATAAAAAGGGCAATTCATGATAAACCAATATTCTTTTCTATTTGTTTGGGCTTGTAATCTCAATGTTTGTCTGTCACTTGCACCTTGAGTTGTGCTGATCTTCTCTTTTTTAAAATTAGATGTGCTCAAGAGTCCATTAGAGAGCTTGTTGGAAAAAAAATGTTCTGCAATCCCACCCCAACCCCTACTGTTTACTCCTCCCATTTCATTTTAGATAAGCCACTCTTTTTTGCTCTCATCAATGGTTTCTGTAAAATTGGGATCATTGTTCATAATAGCGGCATCTGCACTCTCAGCAGATTCTGCCCCCTTGGCTTCATTGGTATGGTAGGTTCCCTTGTGGCGGAACATGTATCGAATGAGGAACACCAGGGTGCAGAGAATGGTGAAGATCACAACAGCAATAATACCTAAGAGAAATGTGAGAGTTTAACAAATTAAAAATAAGGGGGGAAGAAATATTCATCCAATAATATATTGTAATTAAACATACCTGCAGTTTTTCAAACATTTCTGCTAAATTTGACATTGCTAAAATATTTATTTTGTCAAGCCACCTTATAATATCATTCATTTAGTAAGAAAAATCTCACCAATGAGATTTAATTTTTTATTAATAAATTAATATATCTTAAGTGGCAACTACACAAAATGTGTATGAATTTGAGGTTCATATACATACTTTAATAATTTATTTACTTCACACAATGAAAATCATGTACATTAAGTGCAATATTAATATTTTGATATAATCAGTTCAGTTCTTTACATGTTAGCCATCTTCCTGTACTCTAGGAAAGATGATGGATTATACTGAAAAGAATTATTTTACCTGCCCAACAACCTCAGTCTGAAAATTGTCATAGTGTCTAGTGAAGCACTAGAAAGTCCCACAAGCAGTCGCCACAACAAGAAACCAATAGACCCAATTGTTCTGAGTAGTTCTCATTCAGAATTAGGCATAATGGGAAAGATGTGATGAAATTGCATTTCATCATTGCAACTATTTTCCTGTATCTCATACAAATCTCCATAGTCAGCTTGCCTCATCTGAAAGGTCTTTTGATGAATTGTGATAATATATTTGAAGTTGCATGCATGCATGCACATATCAGTGTATGTGTGGGGGAAGAGAAAAAGAAAGACTGTGGTGATTAATGAGCTAAACTATAATCACAGAGAGTAGAAAGAAGAATCTCAGATGAGATAGGAACATTGTGTTTATATATCTGCACAAATGCTATTATATTTATTATTAAACTTATATTCTGCCCATCTTGTCTAGAAGAAAATCTATGCAGCTTACAATTATGAAAAATCAGAAGATAAAATATCAAAGCATTACACAATAAATATTAATACTAACATTGTGTTAGAATTGACAAGATGGGAAGGAAGGGAACAAAATGTGTATGGAGAAGAGGTGGAGTCTTATCTTACTCCATTAACCACCTCCAGAATGACAAGTCCGCTTAGGACCTTATACCAGTTGGCAGAGCTTCAAGCCCTTTCAGAAAACCAAAAGTATGGGTACAGATATCATTTCAGATGGCACCAGTTTTCAGAGGATGGCAGCCACAATAAAAATCATTCTTCTTCTGGACCCCAACAGCCAGAATTCCTTGATCAACTGGGTTCCCAGCACACACTTTCTGCTGGGATGGGAAGCATGGGCCAATACCATTGGGATAATTCATCAGAAAGCCTGGATTCATGCCATGAAGGGATTTAAAGGTAAGAACCAACCCATTGATTTGGACCCAGAATTAAACCCATAACCAGTGCAGCTTCCGGAATAGTGGTATAACATTAACTATCCAAGGAACCGAGGTGGCGCAGTGGTTAGGGTGCAGTACTGCAGGGCACTTCAGCTGACTGTTATCTGCAGTTCAGCAGTTCAAATCTCACCGGCTCAAGGTTGACTCAGCCTTCCATCCTTCCGAGGTGGGTGAAATGAGGACCCAGACTGTGGGGACAATTTGCTGACTCAATTTGCTAAAAATCTGTAAACCGCTTAGAGAGGGCTGAAAGCCCTATGAAGCGGTATATAAGTCTAATAAATAAATAAAATAAATAAATATTCCAGTGTCTCCAAAAATTGTCTGTGTGGCTGTATTTTGCACCACCTATAGCTTCTGAATATGTTTGGAATAGTCGAAGCAGGAGATGACCAGGGCTTGAGTGACTGAGCATAGGGACTCCTGATTCAGGAAAAGGTGTAACAGGCACACAACAAAAAGTTGTCCAAAGGGTCTCCTAGCCATGACTGCTATTAGGAATGCTTAATCCCAAATTCAGGAGAACCCCAAGTTGTGCCACAGTTCTGTATGGAGATATTAAACATATTAAATCCCAGATCCCGAAGCTCCATGGTTCCAAAGCCACTAAGTCTTACTACAGTTCAGCCAAATCCTTTGTCACCCATCCAAACCTCCATAGCCTTCAGATGCTGTGACTGGGCAGTGACAGCATCTCTTGGGTCACCAGGAATGGAGATATAAATGATACTGAGTGTCATTAGTGTACTGATGGTATCTCATCTCATCATGGCAGATGATTCATTATATGAAACTTAATCTACTCTACCAGAAGTTTTTGCCTGGGGAAATGGATACTATCAAGAAATGGGACTTAATAGAGGAACATTAAATAACAACCATAGAGATAGGAAAATAGGATAGAATTTCCACCTAAATTGGATTATATTATTGTTAACCTAGAATTATAAATTGTAGAAGGAAGGCAATATCTGTTATCAATATTCCTTCTTCTTGATTTAAGTACTCCATTTTTTCTTTCATTGATTTTAGTTCCAGACAGTTCCTTTGTTTGGAAAGACTGCTTTATTCCCAAATTAATTTTATGTATGCCTAGTGAAAACAATCTCTGGCTCTTCATCTGTTTTTTGTTGTTGCTCATTATTTATTTAGCTTCTCTTTAAGCATGAAGATAAATTTGCTCAATGCAATGTATGAAAAAGTAAGGATCTGATTCTGAATCTTAGACTTTATTATTGGTTTCAATTGGCTTAATGATGAATTTACTTTGCAGAAACATTCCAACTTGAGACACACTATCAAAAACCAACCATGAAGTTAATCCATGTGGACATTACATTCTTTTGGTGAATAAGTTTAAACATTCTGTTATATCTTTACTTAGTAATCAAAATGAGTTCATTAAAATGTTATTTAATTTGTTACCTCTCAATTTAAGCACAAGGAATTGTTCATCAGCACCTTATATGAAGAAAGTCTCCCTAACATCATGGTGACTGATAGTGACTTAGTAAATTCGCTAAGTAAATTTACATAATTGATAATGGATTTAAATGTTTCTAATCCTAGCCCAGCATCTTAATTATTAGATTGCACTTGAATATTATGAAAAAAAATATTTACATATTATGATAACCCAAAGAGGTTATCAAATTTTCCAAAATAATTTGATCAATCTTAGGTAACTATGTACTAATACTGAAAATTATATTAAACTAACTGAATGTACTTATTTGTCAGTTGAAATAGATATATACTGCTTCCTTACCTCCAATAATTGCTGAATTTCTGTTAACACCATTTCCTATTACTTGACCATTGTAAGGAAGATCAGCACCTGATGTAAAGCGAAGCATAACATTTAGATTGTATTTTTTCCAGAGTTTGTATCAGTCTAGGCCAGAACTAAAATTAAGATATCCTTAAACATTAATATTGGAAGCATAAAGGAAATAGAAATATGAAATAACAAAGTTTCTAGTATAGCATTAGATCTCAGAAGGTCAGAATGGACTCAGTCAATCTACAGGAAATTCCCAAAGGGAGAGTCTCAATTTTGTCATAAACTTAGTGGGCAGTAAATATCCTTACTTCCATGTGGACTGTCAGTTATTCCAAGTCACTGCAGGAACACCATAGGTTAACATCAAGCACAGTGAAAGACATTAGTAACTAAAAATATATAGATAAGAGAATATTGAATTATAGATTAGTTTTTGGAAAGTACATACTTCCCTTGCTTAATGCTAGAGTTACATTCCTTAAAAAGCTTGCATAAAGCAAATTTGTATTGACTCAAGCACGACCTTGAGTCAATAGAAAAAAAATTGAGTTATGGGATTTGGTGTCAGTTTCTATAACTCAAATATACTCATATATGTTTAGAACTTTATTCTTAGCCCTATATTAATTAAACATTTTCTTCCTTGTTTGGTACTCTACATACAGTACACTTTATCCATCTTTTCTATAGTTAGATTTCTAATGGGTAGATTTATCATGTACAACAAAAGAAGCAGAATGCCTCTAAAATTTTATTAGGATTCTTCATTATATTGCACATAGCTTAAAACCTGGTGTTGGGCTGAAGGTTCTTGATCAGCTTAGGTGAAATATGATATGTCCAAATTAGTTTCTAATGTTTGAGATCCTTTTTCTTTTCATTTTGAGGAAGGGTACTGGATGTGATCAGGGTGAAATGAGAGGGTAGTGCTATCTCTTCAAAGAAAGAAGGCCTGGAAATGTAGCTTCTGAGGAATTGGCTATCTCCTGACAGATTGGCTGCTGTGATCTACACCCTTCCATTCAGATATATCCATTTCTTCTCTGGCTTCCAGAAAAAAAAGAATTTTACTAACATATCTGTTCTTTTTCTTTATTTCTGTGGCTCAGTAACTTGAATATTGACTAATAGAAAATGGGTTAGTATTTTTACAGAAACCCAAATGAGCTCCAGCAACGAATTGATAGGAAACAGCATGACTTCTTAAGCAAAAGGAGATAACCAGGAAACGTCTGAAGGAGTTAGAAGACAAGAAAAACACAATGAAAGGTTGCAAAGATATAAAGTTTTGGGATTGGAATGATAGAGAATTAAGGTGGCTATAAGAAAGTATTTAGAATGGATGTGTCAAGGTTGCCCTTGGCAGGACATGAAGACCATAATAGAGAGAGAATCTGGGGTAACATATTTTCTGTTTTATCTCTTAATTTTTTAATTTTATTTATCAAATTGATATAGCTGTCCTCTTTCCCAGAAGTGACTCTGGGTGTCAAACGGTAACCTATTTTTTTGCTTGGGAGAAGGTGCATCCTTTCTCCTCTTCTTGCTTTTGTCACCAATTAGTCAGAACATTCCTGCGCACTGCTATAGTAGCAGAATTGGTACCTATAGATTATAGTGAGACTTTTTAAACTATTGGCCTGATAACAGTAGAACAGGAACAGAATGCCTTTTGGGCTCTTCAGGAAGCAAGTACATTGAATATAAAGTGAATGTTTCTCTCCAAAATAATTTTATCACAGGAAAGCAAATATTATAACAAATGGTTGTTGTTGTTGTTGGGGGCTAACAAATGTATGCTGTTTCTATACTAGGATAATTCATTGTTTTTTATAGAAAGATACTGACATAGCACATAAAGAAGTTGCAAAATTATTCCATTCTTATACCTTATGTATGTATACAGTATTTATTTCCAGTAACAATTTTATTTCTTATTTTTAAAAAAACCTTTCCTCTTTATTTTATTCTCTTGATGATATGATTTAGGGTTTTGGAAATTAGAATTCTAGCCAGTAAAATATAACAGAAAGAGATAAATAGAGAATTAAATACCACTGTTAACAAAGCAAACCCATTAGCAGAGATTGTGTAGAGCAGGGGTGTCAAACTCGTGTCATCATGGCAGTGTCATGTGATGTATTACGACTCCCCCCCCCTTCAGTAAACTGGGTATGGGTGCATCTGGCCCACAGGCCTGCATGCCGTTTAACAGCACTGGTGTAGAGTGAAGCAAAAATATGTTTATTGTGAATCATTCTTCAGGCTACTTTTGCTGCCTGTCTGCTGCCTGAAATTTGACAGTTCAAATCTCACCAGGGTCAAAGTTTACTTAACCTTCCATCCTTCCGAGGTCAGTAAAATGAAGACCCAGGTTGTTGGGGGCAATATGCTGACTCTGTAAGCCACTTAGAGAGGGCTGTAAAGCACTGTGAAGCAGTATATAAGTCTAAATACTATTGCTATCTCTTCCTTGATTCTTGATTCTTTTGCTCCACTTGATTGATACTATATTCAAATGTAATCAATCTTTTTTTTTTGAGTCAGTAACAAAACATGTCACTATTAAACTATTCAGCAAAGTTGTTGCAGATAAGGTCTGCCCATTTGGAATTACATATTTAGCATTGACGGAGGGAAGAACTAATAGTCATTACTCTCTTTATTCTTTGTTTAGGTTTAAGAATCTGCTTTCCAGACTAGCATATTATGCTCTGGCTGCCAATTTCACTAACATTTCCCACTTGAAGCAGGGGCTTCAAGTTGCTCGTCAGCCTCACACATCATTCTGACAATTTACTGTTCTATTGCACTGAAACTATATCTACATTTCATTTATACATACAATTAGCATGTGCAAGTTTAATGAAGGTATTTTTGAGTCATCATGAAAAATTAAGCCAAGAAGGATAAATGTATAATGGAAAATTTGTTCCATTCAATTCTTTTAAAATATGCTTTGTTAAAATGTTTTAAGCTTTTAGTGAAATTAGAATCTCACACCAAAATGTTAACTTTTCAGATTTTTGTAATATAATTTTGAAGTGTAAACTTATGTATGTATAGATGGGAACTGCTGTTGTCCTAAGTCCCTTTTGTAGTAGCCTGATGGGCTGCCATCAAAGTTAATGCCATCAGATTTCGAAAAATAATGGACTGTGCTGAAATGAGTAAATTGACACTTGAAATTAGAGAACAAGAGGA